TCCAAAATACCCTCTAGTGGACAGAGTCACCTGGTGGAAGCCTCAGCTTGAACAAGGGGGCGAGACACAGTATCCAATCATTAACCAGTTTCTAGGGCTGATTTGTAAAATGGAAGGCATCAGGGATCTGGGTGAAATTGCTGGGCTATCTTAAGAAGTGTGTGGGGGCTGGGCTTTGGGAATTGGGTTACACCACAGTCAGAAAAGAGAGGGGGCAGGAGGTCATTCGATAGGCTTGTTCAGAGGCGTTACCACTTACAAACGCCTGAAGGGTAAGGATGTAAAGGGTAAGGGTGTAAAGGGTAAGGGTGTAAAGGGTAAGGGTGAGGTGACCAAACGGTCCAGTTTGACTGGATAGTCTAGTTAATGTTTGTGTCACAGCATAATTATTAACAGCCCCCCTTTTACTCCCAAAGTAGCTCAACTAGACTGTAAATTATATGTAATTTATATACTGTAAAACTTTGTTCTCAATTTGTTTTTGTTTAGTTGTGGACCAGTAGTGAACAGTTTAAGGACTGGCCATTGTCTGTCGACCATTTTGAAGCAGCACAGTTCTAAGGAGTCACAAGATTTCAGCAAGACATCCTTACTCTGGTGTTTAATGATTGCTTGCTCAGGTAAACAGACTGCAAGAACCGAGGCCAGAGTCCTAGATTTGGTTCCCGTGTGGATGTACTGTAGCCTCCTGGTGTTCCCTGGGCACAGATCACATTCCTAAGGTCATAGACCAAGGTTCTGTGACCACAGGCAGTTTGCATCCAACTAAGGGTTCTGGGCTAATGGAATAAAGGATCTCAAGAATACACACGTAAGAATGGGATAGGAACATTCAAGCAGTTGTCTCTGGTTGTTTCGGGAAACCCAGTATATATTTTATGTCAGTTATAACAAGTACCTGTTAGTTCAATTTTTAAGTGCTGAATCCAGTCAATACATGATTTTCAGCATGAAAAGTTTCAGTGCCACCCTAAGAAGGCAGTTGATTAGATAGATGTCCCTTAGCTTCTCCCAACAACCCATAAATTTCCTTAAATGACTCAGAAAATGATGGAGACTCATAACTCTGTTCATCTGAAGATGAGTAAATAGAAGAAAAAGTACAAGCACTTCATAGGTCTATGAAAATATTTTATAGCATATAAAAGGAGCCAGGCATGGTGGCATATGCCTGTAATCCCAGCAGTCAGGAGGCTGAGGCAGGAGGATCACTGTGAGTTCGAGGCCAGCTTGGGCTCCATAGTGAGTTCAAGTTGTCATTTTTTATTAATTTCCTTTTAAATATTTTCCCCATATATTGACACATTTTTTTTGTCTTTTTTTGAGATAGTCTTGCTATGCAGTTCAGGCTGGCCTTGAGCTCAGTCTGAACTGAGCCTTTCTTTTAAGACTTTGTAGCCCAGGCTGGTCTCGAACTTGCAACAATCCTCCTGCCTCTGCCTCCTGAGTGCTAGGATTACAGGTGTGCGCCCTCAATACATTTGCTAGGCTAGGTAGAAATATTGTAGGCAGTCAGACAGGGCTGGGCCCTCACGAGGTCAATGCAGAAGACAACTGTGGCTGGAGGCGCATTCACTGAAGGCCAGACTTCAAGAAAAAGAACTACTCACCCATATACTTCTCCTCGGCATGAACGGCAGCGATTGATATTCTAAGTAGGCATCCCAGGTGCTGGGATTACAGGCATGTGCCGCCACACCTGGCGAATCTTCCTACTCCTAACCTCCATTGTTCCTAGAATTCATTCCTCAATTTTAGAGAACACAAACTCAGTGTTTTGGACATCTAGCAGGTTGGGAGTTATATTTCCCCTATGTCACTAGCACCACACACACACACACACACACACACACACACACACCACACAAGCAAACACTTAAAGAGATAATAAATGAAACATACAGACTAGGATGAAAAAGAGGAGCTGGCAGTAAAGTATAATCACAGGATACTAGCTTAGGTAAGGAACATCTCTAAGGAAACTAAAATGAAGAATTTAAAATTGAAGTAGTAAAAAGCTGAATGGTGTGGAGAGTGGACTTTAGAAGTGCTCAGAAAGCAGAGAAGGAGTTGTGGGTGAGTATAGCTCAGTGACAGACCATGTGCTTGGCCTGTACAAGGGCTTGTGCTCAAGGCAGAGTTTTGGCTTGTAATGGATACTCAGTAATGATGAATAAACAGGAAAGTGTTCAGCTGGGCATGGTGGCGCATGCCTGTAATCCCAGCACTCAGGAGGCTGAGGCAGGAGGATCACTGGAAGTTTGAGGCCAGCCTGGACTATATTCAAGGACAGCTTGAATTATATATGGAGACCCTGCCTCAAGAAAACAAAAACAAAAACAATACAAAAACAAACAAAAAGAACTGACTACTAAGCAGTCATTAAAATAGTGTTTTTAGAGCACATACAATGATGTGGGAAACTATTGAATGGACTTACAAAATATACATACAGTGCAGTCTAATAATGTTTAAAATGTATTGATATATGGGGAAAATGTGTAAAAGGAAATAAATAAAAGTAGAAATAACAGTTGTCTCTGGTAGAACTACAGCTGACTTTCTTATGCTTCTTTCATCATGAGCATTCAATTCCTTTTCTAACCAGAAAACAAAGCCAAATCAAGATTTTTTTGTTTTGTTTTCTTTCTTTCTTTTTTTGTTTTGTTTTTTGAGACAAGCTCTCATTATATAGTCCAGGCTGGTCTTGAATTCACTATGTAGCCCTGGTTGGCCTTAAACTCAGGGTGATCCTCCTGCTTCAGCCTCCTTAGTGCTCATGCCCTTAAGCTATATTATTATTATTAGTTTTTGGTATCAGGAATCAAACTCTGGACCTTGTGCTTGCCAGGCAGGCGCTGTGCTGCTGAGCTATATCCTTGGCCCCTATATTATTTATTTATTTATTTATTTATTTATTTATTTATTTATTGTCTTTTTAAGACAGGGTCTCCATATGCAGTTCAGGCTGGCCTTGAGCTCACTTTGTAGCCCATGCTGGCCTCAAACTCATAACAATCCTCCTGCCTCAGCCTCCCTCCTGCTTCAACCTCCCAAGTTTTGGGAAGACAGGTATGTGTTACCATGCACCTATAATATTTTTAAAGATAAGAATGGTTGTTACAAATTCTCTTCTGCTAAACAGTGATTCTCAAACTTGAATGTTTGCTAGAATTCCTTGGGTTCCTGCCCCTTTCTCTTATTTAGTACGTCTCGGTGGGCTCCATAACTTGTATTTCTAACAAGTTCTGCTGGGCTAAAAAGATAGCAACACAGAGCCAGGTGTGGTGGTGCATGCCTATAATCCAGCATTTGGGAGGCTGAGGCAAGAGAATCACCATGAGTTCAAAGCCAGTCTGGGCTATATAAGTGAGTTCAAGCCCAGCTGGCACTACATAGCAAGACCTTGTCTCAAAAAAACCAAAAAACAAATCAAAAGGAAGATAGCAACACAGAATGCTATGAAGTGTAGTGAAAATGATTAAGTTTTGGTCAGTCTGGTTCTGATTCTGACTCTGGCCTTTGTAGGCCGGGTAGCAATGGGCAGTAGACTTGGGCTCCGCTTAGCCTTTCTTTCCACGCTGATGAAAGTAATGCACATCTCATAGGCATATTGCTAAGGTCTCATGATGGTTGAATACTTAGCTCAGTACCCGACTTAAAGTCCTTGATGACCTTGCTGTTATCTTTGAATTCCACTAAAGATGCAACACACCTTTTCCATAAGTGAGTTTATGGTGATACGATTTAGCAACACCACAGGGCATGTCATTTCCTCTAACCTGAACAAGACATGCATGTCTATCTGCTACTAACAAACTCTTCATTGTTCACCTGGGCATGGTGGCACACGTCTATAAATCCAGCTACTTGGGAGCTTGAGGCAGGAACATGAGTTTGAGGCCAGTCTGGGCACTTTATCAAGAACCTATCTCAAAAAATAAAATGAAAAGCGCTGGGGGTGCCGCTTAGGGCTAGAGTGCTTGTCTAACATGTTCAGGGCCCTGGATTCAATGTCCAGTATGGTAAAAAGCAAAAACAACTTTATTGTTCATCTATAACACTGGGGGTAACAGCATGTTTAATAGTGTCTACTTTGATATAACAGATAATACTATCCATTTTGCAAGGATGAAGATTAAACACAGTACTATGCTAAGTGCTTTTAGTACAATAACTCACATATGGAAGATACGTACGGTAGTAGATTCAGTTTCCTTTCCCAGGCTTTTTAATGGAGGACTTGTCCACATTCTTAGACCTACTTCACGAGTTCACCTGGTACAGAGTACTTAAACCTTCCCACCTCAGATTCCTCTTTTGTGTCACTGTTAACTTGAAGTCAATCATTTATTTATTGGTTGTGCAAACTGTTGTATCTGATGGTTGAGATCAGTAGAAGGCTGTTCCCTGGCTTTGATGTACTTGATGGAGGTGGTGATATACCAGATATGAAAACTTGATCAGAAAAGTAAGGAAAAGTGTAGTAAATTATATAGAAAGGAAGTGTAGAAGTTTCAAGATTACAGTGGTTGTTCTGCAATTAGTTTTTACTCAGGAACTAGTCAGTTACTGTCGCTGTGACTTTGGGCAAGTCACTTATCTCTATGCTTCATTTCCTCATCTCTAAAATGAGTACAACATAGTACCCTATTTCAAAAAGTTGTTTAGAGAAGTAAATAACCTAATATATAATGTTAAAAACAAACAAACAAACAATTGTGGAATTGTTCTTGCTATTAGTCTCATGGAAGGCAAGAACGCTAGTCTTCTGGTTTTTTTTTTTTTTTTTTGTCGTCTTTTTGAGACAGGATCTCACTATGCAGTTTAGGTTGGCCTTGAGCTCACTTTGTAGCCTAGAATGGTCTCGTACTCACAATGATCCTCCTGCCTCAGCCTCCTGAGTGCTAGGATTACAGGTGTGTGCCACCACACCCGGATTTTTTTTTTTTTTTAAATTTTAAAACCTCCTTTCTCAGATTCTGTTCAAAGTATCCAGGAGGGTGTACAAAAAAAAAAAAAAAATACATGTTAGCTACCTTAATACTATTGGAAGTTTTTGTATCTCTGAAGTGAGACGTAAAATTCAATTCACGCAAATCTGGCCTTGATCTAGCACCAGGAAAGGACTCCCCGCCCCAGCAAAACAAACAACAACAAAAAAACCAGGACACAGCAACAGGACCTAACGGATACATGACCTAACAGATCTTTTAAAAAGTCAGTCAAGACCAACAGGTGCTGAGAAAGATGGGGTCAATGAGCTCAATCCCAAAATGAGGTTTCTCGTCTATTTTAAGAGCTATCCCAAACTTCCTTAGACAAAAATTTAGCCTTTTAAGGAAGGTGCAGAGAACATGCCTCCGTGGGCTTCCTTTAAGGGAAGGCTTTAGTAGGTGCTGCATTTCACCCAGCGGGTGGCTGCATGAATTTGTGAACTGAGGTGTCAACACTGACTCTCTCCGGAAGAAAAGATGCTATCTCTTCACCGGCAGTTTAATTACCATGGCACTACTTGAAACAAGAAACCCAACAGCGGCCACACCGCCACCACTAGCCCAGCCCACCTCGGCCGAATATCGACATTAAAGAAAACAAGGACTATTTTTTCCTGGGGCACATTTTTCTACTCTCTTAAATGCCTGCTGCACAAATTCTGGGAGGAATTACAGGCAAGAGGGCCGTTGCGCTATTAGCGAGTGCGGAGGGAGGGAGGGGCGGGGTACATGAGCAGTAACTTATATTCAGGTATTAGAAAAATTATGGCTAGGGGAGCAGGAATGTAGCACTACCTTTAGCATCATCTAAAGGTAGGGAGATCTATGGGTACCGACGCGTTCCAATCTTCCACTCTGACAGATGCAAATCACATCGCCCGCCCCCCGCCTCGCTACTCAGGCGATAGCAGGGTAAGAGAAACATCATGGGAAGAATCTTGAGGTGAGTGAGAACAGGAGGTCTGCCTAGGGCTCTCGTGTGGAAGGGATCACTGAGGATCAGGTCTACCCAAAGCGTCAGCAAAGGTGGAAGAATGAAAGGTCACTGTAGGACGGTAAGCCCCGAAGTTTGGGGTCGAGGCGGCGGGCTGTCCCCCGGTCCCCTTGGGATCTGCCCTGCACACAGCCTTCCGCAGTTTGTCGGTCTGCATCTTGCCTGTACATTTTCAGACTAGAAACTGTCTTGCTGGCGTTTTCACAGCGCTTAGCTCAGAGCCAGCGGCGGAGTCGGCTCTGGGTCGCCGGCGAGCAAAAAGCAGCTTCGAGATTTGGGGCGGAGAGGCAACGGTTTTCTTGTTCGTAGGGCTGGCGTTCCGGTGTGGCCGCAACTAGTGGTCAGCACAGTGTTCCATGGCCTCTTGTCCTCTTCCTCATGTGATGTCGCCGAGCCCCGCAGGACCAATCTGGGGCAAAACGGTTCAGCAGCGTCCTTCAGGTGTCAGCCTTGATGCGTTTGGAAACCACAACCCCCAGCGTCCCCTGTGCCAGAAGGCCAGGCCACAAATAAGACGGCTCCAGAAGGGTGGAACATGCAGTAGGGGTCAAAACTAGTCTCTGGCATTTTCTTTACCGGATGTGTGTTAATAACCGAATCCCCACATGTGCACCGCCCAACTAACCACCTTCCAGGCCGCTGAGGCCACGGCTGACGCCGCGCCCGCTCCTCCAGGAGCATCCTGGGAGTTGTAGTCCAGTCACCTGGCTGTGCTGAACTACCTTTCCCAGGATGCCCTTCGCCCGGGCGATAGCAACGTTCTTTTTCCAGGCTCTCTGTACTGAGTCCCCTACCTCCCAAACCCCCTTTCTCTGTTTTCTTCTCGCCATCAGCTCCTTCCCGTTCGCTGCTTCAGAGTAGCAGTAGCAGTAGCAGTAGCGGGAGCGGCCCCGGGGTCGGGCCGCACCGCCCCAAGAGGCACTTCCGGCGACGGTTCACTTCCTGGTTGGGTGGATGGAGCCGGGCGGGAGCGCGCGCGGGGGAGGGGCGGCGGGTCAGTCTCCGCCGGGCGCACGGGGGATCAGCTGGCTGGCGGGCGCCGATTGCGGCCCCGGCTCAGGCTGCAGCGCCGCCTCCTCTCCGCGTCGCAGGCCGGCTCGGCGGCCGTGACAATGTTGCGGGCCTGGTAGCTGGGCGCCGGCCGCTGAGCAGTCTCAAGTGGGTGCCGCGGGGATGCTGCCTGGCGGGGCGACCGGGGAACCAGGGAGGAGGGGGAGGCAGTGCCCGGCAGGGTCGGCGCTGCCCAGGGCGGCCCGAATCCCTCCTTTCTCTGAGCTCCAGACGCGGGGATCTGGGGTTCTGGGGGCGGGGACGCGTTTTCCACCCTAGGGTTTTTCTCGCCAGGAAAAATGCATGAAGCGTTTCCCCCAGAATGATGGCTTTTGCTACCCTTAGGGACTCAGCAGTTGAATTTTTAAGTGTGTTACTGATTCATCCTCTCTCTGCCTCTGTCATCACAGGTTTAAACTTACACGGATCGCTCTCTGGAGGAGGAGGGGACCCGCCGCGCGATTGACACGCATATTCCTATAGGCATCCTCCTCCCTCAGCCCCCACCCCCACGGCCGGATTCGGGTGGCTCCTCTGCGAGCTGAAATCCGAGAAGAAATCTTTAGATCTATTTTCTTAAAAAAAGAAAAAAAGAATCTAGAAATCATCTGCCCTTTGCTTTGCTGCTTCTTATTTGCAAGATGAAGAAGTTTTTCGACTCCCGGAGAGAGCAGGGCGGCTCTGGCCTGGGCTCCGGCTCCAGCGGAGGAGGGGGCAGCACCTCCGGCCTGGGCAGCGGCTACATCGGAAGGGTCTTTGGCATCGGGCGACAGCAGGTCACTGTGGACGAGGTGTTGGCAGAAGGTACGGTGGAACTCAGTGCGCCGTAAATTAAAATCTTGTGCTGATGTGGCAAGACTCTGGTGTCCAGTTGTTCAGTCTATGAATGGGCTTTGACCAATTGACCCACCCTTCCCCCTTCACTTTCCCTGTGAGTCATTGTCCTTGAGAGATTTAAAAGTGAGATTGGAAAGTGACAGAGCATAAAGGGCTGGGGGGAGGTCGTTGAAGTTGTTTACCTCAGTGGCCGTTTATTTTAGGAAAAAAAAAAAAAAGCATTGAAAAGCCACTGTCTTTCCCTCACCGAATTATTCTGATCAGACAAAACCGGATGTGTGGAAGTGTAAAGCTTTGCATCTAATGCTGGCTGGTGGGCTTGTCATCCTCTAAAACCTGAAATATTAATGTGAAGGCTGAAGGAGGGGATGGGGGAATCTTTAAGAAGAGAGGTTTCTCTCACCCAACTTTCCCACTTCCGAAAAGCACACATTGAAAGGAAGAGAAGATTTTCACAGAACTCGGAATGTGTTTTTCTGAGTCAAGGTTCTTGGTGAATTTGACTTAGGTTTGTTTCCTAGTCCCGCTGTAATCAGACCCGTAGGATATAGCTAAGATAACAGAAATGATATGCAGTGAATGTGCTTATTTTGAATTCAGTCTCATAGGCCCTTCTTCCTCTTGTTTTACTTTTTATTAAGAATAACTTGAGAGTGACCCTGATTTTTACTTTTCCTTTATTGAAGAAGATGTTGAAATCTGCTGTGTAAATGCCCTCCGTGTGTGTTTGTTTGTATATCTCTGTGTATGTAGAAATATATCTTTATCTCCCAGGCTCTCAGGAAATCTTCGCATGTGTCTTTTGATAACCTTACCCTCGACCTTCATAATTATGCCAGACTCATACTTTTCACAGCTCATTGCCTGCTTAGTGTGCTTTTATTTTTAATAAAAGCAGCAATTTCCTTGGCATGAAGCAATTCAAACTAATTGGATGGGGCCAACCTGCTGTAGGTTGTATTGTAGATTGTGAGAGGTTGGGGAAGGGGGAAGCCTCTATTACTGCAACATGGTGGTGGGGAACATTTTATTAGCTAGGGAAGAGAGGAAATGAAGAGGCCCTTTTTAAAAGGAGTCTTTCACAAGCTAAGGTTGAAGCAAAAGTCACTACCTGGGCCTAGGGAATGCCTGTCATGGTGAGTGTTGTAGGCTGGTGGGTGGTTTGGGAAGAGGGAGAAGCTGCTTGGTTCTCAGCCTGTGTAAGCACTGGACTCTCAGGGCCTAATTTTTTTGCGGGTAGGGTTGAAGCCAGTACTTGAAAAACACTACTTAAAAAAAACTGACAATGATTGTCCTTGTGAAATTATTGCTCTTTTGCATTCTCAGTACTACTCTGGCTGGACTTAATCTGGGGCCTGAGTCACTGTCCCTCTGGATCTTTCCTTGTGGGCTTTGGTGCAGGATGGGAGCTGCTTCTGTGCCCGCTGCCAGATCTCTACCCTTGAGTCTGATCTGTCTCTTTCATTCCTGTGCCAAAGCTCTTGACTGCAGTGGGGTGGAGAAATGAAGGAGTACGTGTATGTGTGAGAGAGAGATCAGGAGGAATGAGAGGGCACAGAGCTCTTCCTCCCCTCTCGTGGCCTTTGCTGACTTTATAGCCCTGAAGCATTTTGTTCAGCTATGGTGGTGCCTCATCATGGATGGTGGTGCCCTCACTGGTGCCTGTTCTCTGAGTCTAAGAAGAGCGATGGAGAAGAGAAAAGGCAGCATCGGTGTTGGTTATCTAGGCTGCCCTTCTCTTCCCTGGAATTCATCCCTGAGAACTGCGCATCATACATTATGATATTTTCAAGTAGAGCTCAAGTAGAACTTACACCTCTGCATTCCTTCATTTATTTATTCATTCAGCAAATAATTATGGAGGGCCTATTATGTGCCAGCCACTGTGCTAGGCTTTGGGCATATGATGTTAAATGAGTTGCTCTAAGAGATAGAAATTGGTCACTTGAAACAGAGTAATTAGTACCATCATGGAGATAAGCCTACTGTGCAGTGGCTGTGAATTTTATTTTATTTATTTATTTTTTTGGCCCCCAGCTTTAGGAAGTGAAGATTGTTTTCTACGAGAGGAAAAGACTGAAGAATGAGTAAGAGTTAGCCAGGGTGGTGGCTACATGGGGAAAGCTTGAATAGCAAGAGAGAGTGTCCTATATAGTCAGGTCTGGTGATGCAGCCCATTTTGTTCTTTGACTATATTAGAGTTTGATTTTGTGGGCTGTGAAGTATGTAAATATGTAAGGGTCAGTATACAAAGTACTTACGTAGCACCTATGAAGTCCAAAGGTTCTACTAAGTTCTGGAAGGGGATAAGAGAGGTAAAAAGTACGATATCTGTCTTTAAGGAGCTGCTGGTAAATTTGAGAAGACAAGGCAACATTCCTACTTACTGTAATGTGGTTATCAGCACCAATTACAGAGTCAAACAGATCGGGGTTCAAATTCTGGATCTGTTCTTTACCAGCTGTGGCACTAGGACAGATACTCCAAAACCTCTTAAATCTCTATTTCCCTATGACAGTGTCCTTAAGAGGGACCCTGGGTCCAGAGCATCCTTATCATCAGCAAGCTTGTTAGCAATGTAGATCATAAGGTTCCACTCTATAGGCTGTGGATGTGGGACTGTACCAAGTTCTGGGGGAGATTCTGATGTAAACTAGGTTTGAGAACTACTATGCTAGGGCAGTGTTAAAAATTAAATAAGGCAAGGTATAGATTTAACATTTTTCAGGTGCTCAATAAATGGTAGCCGTTATTTACCAGAAAAATCTATAAATAAATAATAAATAAATGAATAAAATGAGTGAATGTCATATGAAGACTAGTTTGACTACAATAGTTAGAAGTAATCCCTTTCCCCCATTGTGGGTGGGCTGAGGCAAACGGATGTTCTTTGCAGATACCAGCTCCTCAGGATCAGCAGTGCTTTGGGTAGCCAGGCTTTTTCATTGGTCCCTCTTCTTCGAGTCCCCGAGTTCTGACCTATCCATCAGTCTCAGCCAGCATTGTGTATGGACAGTGAGTTGTACATCAGATGCTCAGGGCAGTGGCCAGCAGTTTAGGGAGAGTGGTGTTTGGCCCTCAGACACCAACCTGGTTACCACCATATCCTGGTGATTATTTCTTTTTCCCTAATGTAGTTATTGATCTGTGCTTCAAAGTAAGGAATTTCAGGAACCCTCAGAAACAGATATAGGGCTGCCATCTCTAGCAGCAGCAGCCTTGGTGTTCTGATTTGCTAACTGGTCCAGGGAACCTAGCTTATTAGGGGAAAAGAAGGCAGCAAATCTTCAGTTAGAGGGATGTCGCTATCTCTAGGCTTGGTGCTGGGAAGGATATTTTCCAGCTTTCTTGGTGAAGGTGCCCTTATGAAATACTAAGTCATGTTTGAGTTAATAGGTGTGTGATATCAAAGGAAGATCTGGTTAAAGCTTCCAAAAGAGCTCAATGGGGAAAATTAGAGCAATGCTTAAAGAGGGACTGAGAAGCAGTGGTTTTGTCATGCTGCTTTAGCTATATAAAGCCTTTTGTCTGAGCTTTAAGGAAAAAGTGTATGTTGAATACCTTTTGTGTCTAAGACAGTATTCCAGAGCCATATCAATTCTGCATAAGATTGACCAGCTGGCTTCTCAGAACAGGTTCCTTCCTTCCTTCCTTCCTTCCTTCCTTCCTTCCTTCCTTCCTTCCTTCCTTCCTTCCTTCCTTTCTGTCTTTTTGAGACAGGGTCTCTGTGTGCAATTCAGGCTGACCTTGACCTCACTTTGTACCCCAGGCGGGTCTCCAACTCACAAATGATCCTCCTGCCTCAACCTCCTGAGTGCTGTGATTACAGGTGTGCGCCATCAAGCCTGACTTCAGAACAGTTTTCTTATCTGCTCTAAAGGAGTGCAGGTCCAGTCCTAATGAGAACTAAGACTCCAAATTAGAAAATCTTGATAATTTCTACTTACAGTCCAAGATAGTGGGGCTTATAATTTGAATGTCTTGGGGGTATCCATACGATGCACATATATATTCATCTGGTGAACATTTACTAATGCTTCTTTGTGTAGCACTGTATTAGGATCCAGAGATAAGAAGTTGGATTCATGACATGAACTTGTAGACCAATAGATGAGAAATAGCCCTGAGATAAGTGTCCAGCACTTATCATGTACCTTGGAATATAGTAGCTGGTAAAAAAGGCTAGGAATTTTTTTTTTTTTTTGTCTTTAGAGACAGGCTCTCCCTATGCAGTTCAGGCTGGCCTTGAGCTCACTTTGTAGCCCAGCCCACTTTGTAGCCCTGGATAGATGGATAGATCTCAAACTCACAATGATCCTCCTGCCTCAGCCTCCCGAGTGCTGGGAATACAGGCATGTGCCACCACGCCCGTGGAGGTTAGACATTGATAAAGGAGGAAGGGCCTGGGGATTTGAGATCTTGGTGAATGGAAGGTTTGAACAGGAATGGAAGTTGCTCAGCAGATGTTTCAGTTGAGGATTACCCAAGACCCTCCAGCCAGAGGGAATGGTGTGTGCAAAGGTGTAGAGTGGTGAAACAGAATGATACGTTTAGGAGAACTGAGTAGTCTAATGTTACTGTTTTCCAGAATTAGAGAGAGGACATGGAGTGACAGAATGAAGTAGTTCTTTTGTATTTGCTCCCACATATACATTTGGATGCGATTGCTGCTCTTTCTTCAGTGGCCCTGGGCCTTGAGAAGAAGTGTCAGATAGCTCTGAGTAGGTCCTGCTGTACCTCAGTGCTATGCTAGCTGAGGGGAAAGGAAACGGCTTGGTTCTGAGTAAGGCGTGTCTCAGAAAGGTCATACAAAGCAAGAAGCTGGAAGCAGAAACAAGAAGGTGTGTGTGTGTGTGTGTGTGTGTGTGTGGGGAGAAATGAACATCTTACAGAAAGGAATGAGCAGGGGAGACAGGATATTTGACTATAGCAGAACATCTGTTGGCAAGAAAAGGAAGGAATAAGTT